CCGGGCCGGCAGAACCGCCCGGCTGGGAGCCGCGGAGCTCCCCGACCCGTGCCAAGCCCCCCATGTTTTATCAGCGGCTTATTCGTTAGGTTTTTCCTGCCATCTCACAACTTCCCGGTGGCGCTCGGCACCCCCAGGACCCCATCCCGCAATCCCGCCCCGCGCCGCCGTTACTTCATCACCGGCAAACCGCTGCCTGAACTTTTCCCTTTTCTAGTAAAAGTGGCGACTCCAGCTGGGGATTCTTGACTAACAATCTTCTTTTTAATTTTTTTCCCCCCCTTTTTTTTTTTTTTTTCCCCTCAGAAGTCACTGTCTGAGATGCTTCCCTGAGTTCCAGAGATAAGATAAATAATTTACTGGATGGAGGTCTCTGATTACTCACTCTATTAGCATGTGGAGCAAAGAGCTCCAGCCACCGGGAGTTGAATTATTCCAGACGAAGCCCATCTGGGCTCCCGCGCCCGAGCAAGACCAAGGAGTTCCCAGCATCCCACACATACTTGTGGGATGAATTGCTTGAAATCGAATGGGTTTTACTGGAAGTGCTGGTGAGCGCCCGGCTCCTTTAGTATTTCTTTAAAAAAAAAAAATAATAAACGATAACCAAAGCACAAACCCTGAAGTGTTACAGAGCTGCGGCTCAGCCCTCGCGCCGGCCGGGAAGGACTCGCCACCACCGTTGCCTCTTTTAGATTTACTGAGAACACGGCACATCCTCTTTCAGGGGCTGAGACAACTAAAAACCTAAAAACTGGAAAACCTACATTGCTTTTTACCCAGAAGTGGATACTTTTGTTCGGGGAAAAGTGCGGAGAATCTGACGCAGCAGCTGTCAGCCTTTTTAAAATTATTTTAAAATATATTACTGTTATTATTTGGGGTGATGCAAGCTGAGGGTGGAGGAGAGGGGCGGGCAGCACCTTTCTCCTGCCTTATTCCCACCCGACGCCTGGGCATATTTGGGACAACTGGTTCTGCCAGTCGGTGCTCAGCCTTGGGCCGAGGTGACTCAGCATCTGGCCCCAAACTCATTATCAAATACTTTGAGGGATGATGAAAGGTACCGAAGGGGCTGCCCTGGAAACCCAGGTTCTTTATTGACAAACAAAGTCAGGGCTTTCCTGGGGGCTGCCTTCTCCTGACCTCTTTGGGAGGTGCTAACTTCTTCCTGGCTCTGCCCAAACCTGCTAATTAGCGTCAAAGGGAGCAGCGTGTCCTGCAACCTGGATGATCTGGGGCCAAATCATCGTTGTGTGTAAACCTGCTCAACTGCGAATTTCCCCTGGGGGGGACTGAGTCAGCGGCCGCCTCTTCCTGCCGGCCTTGCATCCCCTCTGGGTTGGGAAAAAACCCCCATCTTGGGGGCAGCGGGGAGGCTTTTCTCCATGCCCCAGCCATGCGGAGTGGGGATGCGGCCGTGTTTCCCAACCACATCCATCTCTTTCCAGAATAACCCACCCAGACACATCCCTGTTCCCCAAATGACCCCAAACCAGGGCTGGGAGCTGCCTCTTCCCCCCCGAGCCCATCCCACGTACTCACCTTTCCCCTGCCAGCCCGGACGAGGCCATTGGGATGTGTCAGACATTCAAGCCAACATGAAACAAACCCCATCCTGCTCTGGCCTCATCCATAGGGATCACCCTTTTTTCCCAACCCTCTTCCTCTGGGATGAAAGCTGCCGAGGCCAGTGGGTGCAGGAGAGCAGCCCCCATCTTTAAGCACACCTGGCCCTCGCGTGGACACACCAACGTCCATGCAGGGCTGCAGGTCCTGCCCCGACCAGGCAGCAGCATCCCTGACCCTGGCTGCTTCTTTCCACCCTTGGGTCAAACCCAGTGTGTGGCGTGAGCCCCTGGAGAGCAGTTTGCAGCTCAGAGGAGATTGCACAGGGCTCGCAAGGAGGAAAAACCTAAGCAGGACCATGCCTGGGGAGAAGCAGCACCCCAAGGTGGCACATGGAGCTGGTGGCAGGTCTGCAGGAGAGGAGCTCCCAGCAGACATCACAAGATCAGTTCTCAGCCCTGCAAACAATCCCGGCAGCTTTTGGGCTCTTCAGCGGCATTCCAGTCTAACCGGGGCTGCCTTGCATGATAATCAGGCTTAATTACTGCTTTATCGCTTGATTGCTGTGCTGGGCCCTTGGAGCTGCAGTGTTGCTTTCGCAGTTTACTTTTTGTGTTTCCTCCTCCTCCTCGCCTTCCCCGCCAGCACAATTAGTAAATAGGTGAAAATGGGGAGGGCCAGGGCGATACCCAGGGCGGAGAGAAAGGCGATTTGCCACCCACGTGTCCCTGGAGTGGAAGGGAAGCAGATTTGCAGCCTGTGGAGGGTTAAAATTGAGTTTTCCACCTGTGTCCTGCAGACAAAATAGCAAGGTCAATGCCAAGCCAGGAGCACAACCCTGTATCATCCCCATGAGCATCCTCCTCTGGAGGGGACAGCATCCCTGGAGGAGGGAGCAGAGGATTGCGGGGCGATTAAAGCCGTGACACAGAAAGGCTGTGGCTTTCCTAGCATGAGCTTTGAGTCATTGCGTGACCTTGGCTGCGTCTGCCCATGGCTGCCTCCGCTCGGGCTCGGTTGCCCGCAGAACCGGCTGGCCCAGGGCGTGGGGTGAAGCGGCGGCACGGACCTCCTGGTCCTCGGGGAAAGCGTGAAACCTTCCTCAGTTGGGCCAGCAAAGCTGCTCCCACCTGCGTGCAGTGAGCAATCCCTGGCCACGCTGGCGAGGAAGCGGGTGCTGCCCTCGGCCAGGCAGTGGGTGCTGCGGTTGGGACACCCCCGGTGCGCTGTCATCTGCTTGAAGTCATCTAAAAGATGCCCTTGGGGGTCTCACTGGTGACTTTGGAAATGCCATCAAATGGGTGTGCGTTCCCCAGCATCGCCGTGCAGGATGCGGCTGATCCCAGGGTGTGTGGAGGCTCTGGGGGGGCTGTGGAGGTGCTGGCTGGATGCTGGGAGCCAGTGGAACCACAGGGTGCTGGCTGGGTGCTGCTCCCCCTCCCCATCCTCTAGGTCCCAGGGGTCCCCCCAGACCCAGCTGAGACCCCAGTGCAGCGGTGATAGCTTGGGAACCACACATCCCATCCTGCGCTGGACTCACTCGAGGCCAGGGGGTGAGAAAGGTCCCCGCTGGTGTGCTGGAGCACCCTGAAACCCCTCTAAGCCAGCACCCAGCCCTGGGCCTTTGGGTGGCAATCCCCACCAGTTTAGGAAGGTGACAGGACCTGCGAGTGGGGCAGAAGATGCCGGGACCCATCCCTGGGAGGAGCAGACATGGGGATTTCTTCTTATTAATATAAACTTCTTTTTTTCCTTTTTTTTTTTTTTTTTTTTTTTTTAATATGTTAGCTTTTAGCGCGGGCTTTTTGGGAGAGGTGTGCGCGGAGGCGGCAGCATGGCTAATCTGCTTTGTGAATGGAGCCGCACGGGGGGGCGGCGGAGGGGATCGGGGAGGTGGAGGGAGCCACATATTTGGGATTCCTTCATCTGGGTGGGCTCCTTCTCCCCAGACTCTCAGGATGTGGGAAATGGAAGATGAAAGGAACTGCATTTCCAGCCTCTCGGGTTACAATGTCTAAAGCAGAAAAGGGTGGTTGGGGAAAAAAGACG